GTAAGAGTATTGTAAGACCATGTACAGATTTTTAATTTAGAACGATGTTTATATTATTGTAAGATTACATTGAAAATAACTCGATTGGAATTGAAACGTTTGTTTATTTTAATTGTTTTATATTAATTTTGCTTATTTAAATTAAAATTCTTTTATATGTTATTGGCTCTTTGCCCTTCTTGTATAATCAAAGAGTTAAAGATATTTATCTCAGTTAATTAGGCTAAGATAACATTGAGATTTTGATATTCCATATCTTGATATTCTCTGACATTTTATGCATATTGAAGAATAATCACAAATCTAGACTATATTGAAGAACAGGATTGAAAGACGCCACATACGTGACGTTTTCCGTCCGTCACAAGGGCCGCATAGCCTGACCGAACAGTCTAGCGTCCTGAGTCCTCTCACATTTTGGGGGGCGGACGCACCTGCGTCTTTTTCTGCGACGTTGTTGCGTGCCTTGCGCGTTCCACGTCGCCGTTTTCGTTTTCCTTTTTCTGTGTATTCCCGTACCGAGGGTCATAGGAATCGGCGACTCCCGCAATCTTGGCAGACGCCACCTCACCGGAGAGGAGAAGAAGAAGAACGACCAGGAATGGGAATTGAGAGACGACCGCTGCTGACGGACCCGCTGGGGCGCACGACACCTGACCCCGGATCGCACGCAGGTGATATCATTCATTATTACGCCCTTTTTGTTGTCGCAAGGCATTTCCTATCGCACCCTCTTCCAGGCATGAAGCGGACCGAGAGTTGGAATGACAGGACGGGGGTGGCCACTCTACGCCCCAAGGACGGCGAGAATCCCGAATAGGCACCTCGAGGCCACGAGGTGGCCCGAAAGGATCGAGGCGGCCTCTCGAATTTCGCGCGCCAGGACATGCAACACGGGCATGACGCGGTTTCCGCGATTAGCGGAGCCGCGGAGCCACGCGCCAATCAGGCGCGATAAGGCCCCCTCGCGGAGATAACGAGCCCTGTGTGCCCCCGGGAGGATTAGCGCCCGGCACTTGTGCTGTGGCCCGCTTGACGAAAGCATGTGAAAGGACGCAGAGCGTAAAACAGACGAGAGCCTTCCGAAGACGACCCGGACGAGCACCTGCGGGGGAGTCACGGTGAGACGAGCGTCACAACTGTACAGTCGCCGGTTTCCGCATCCGGGAGGCGTAGTTTTATCGGAATTCTATCGGGCGTATGATAGTGAGTGCACGTGGCATTGCCGTGCATTAGATTTTCGCGGGATTCGAATACACGTGTCGCCTCCCGGAACGGCCCCTTATCATCGGGATAATCCTACTGCGTCCGCCAAGGCCACAGCCTCGTCAGTCGTTGTAAATTTCTATCGCGGATCACATGTTGCGTCGAAGTTCCATACCGTAATATTGTCGCGTATCGTGTCGTCTCGGACGCCTGTAGCGTAAGATTTGCATGTCTAATAGGGCATCGGCCCCTGTGTCATAGCTTAACGATAACTATAATAGCAATTGGTAATTGTGCGTATTCTATCATATCGAGATTGCGTAGTGTCGAGTTTACATTCGATCTTTCCCTGAATCTCAGCTGAGCGGCGCGAGAGCGCACGAGATCACGCCGTGCCCGCGCTACGAGCGTTGTCGAACTCCGTAGTATTTTTGAAGCGGCGAAGTCTTGTTCGTATAATTCGCGAGAGTATCCCTGGCGTGAGCTCGTGTCGCGGGAATCTAACGAAGTGCATACGTCTAGCGTGCAGCTGGGGGCCCGCATAAAGCCGCTATCGCGCTCAATCCGAACTTATCGCTGCAATATTGTCGACAAATGTAAACTCAAGTCGAAGACTTATTTAATATACGTGTTAACTTTGTTAATTCTGGTATGTTTTATTGCCGTCCCTATTCACTTCTCCAAATGATTCGCTATCCTT